TTCAACCTTTTCCTTCTTTCTTTCCTTCCTCCCTCCCTCCTTTTCCTTCCTTCCTTCCTTCCTCCCTTCCTCTTTTTTCTTTCCTCCTTTTCCCTCTTTCTTTCCTTCTTTTTTTCCTCCCTCCCTCCCTCCTTTTCCTTCTTTCCTTTTTTCCTTCCTTCTTTCTTTCCTTCCTTCCTTCCTTCCACAGCCAAGAGTTCAATCCTGACCGGCTCAAAATTGATCCAGCCTTCCATCCTCAGATGGAAGGACTCAGGTGGTTGGGGACAAGAGGCTGACTCTGTAAACCACCTAGAGGAGCCTGTAAAGCACTGTGAAGCGGTATATAAGTCACGATTGCTATTGCCATTCTTCCTTCCTGGGGTCAGAGTCAAGAGAGCAATCAGCCTAGAATCATTTAAGTTGTCACAAATGGTTTAAGTTCAACCCTTTTTGAATTCCGTTGATTCTTCTCTAGCACCAATTTAGCCCTGACTGTTAGTTGACCAGATTCTTATGTGTGTAAATCAGCTTCACTGAAACGTAACGTGTGGTCCTTAATCCTCATGCCTGACACACATACACACCCCCAGTGAATCTCAACTCACTAGTTACTCACGTAAAGAGAGTTGCGTAGAGATTTTCCAAGTGGTATCCCAGTCTCGGGCTTGAAGAGGGGTGAGTTAAAATCCACTTTCCTTTCCACGTATTGGTTATCATTCACGCTGGCACCGTAGCGGTACAAGGACACTGCTGCGCCTGTAAACCATGTGACAAAAATTGAGGCCATTTTGGTTTGGTTTTTATTCAGCCGTTTTTGACTTTCATTCTCGGTTAGATCGTGGTTTAAATTTAAACCAGGAATTCTGAGAATGTTGATGGATATTAAGGCATCAAACCTGATTGCTATTATAATCATTATCACGCTCAGTCACATTTCACATTTTTTGTGTCTACTGTTTTTGGACAGAAGGACGGTAAAACCACCCTAAGAAGAATAAAAAGTAATATCAGGGCTTCTGTTGTTGATTTACACATCAGCCATAGCTTATTAAGTGATAATTTACTTTGAAAATCTCGGTTTCTAATGAACATCAAATAGTCCTCAACTTATGCCCATGTATGACCAGAATTTCTATTGCTAAATAAGGCAGTTGTTAAGTGAATGCCTGATTTTACGAGCCTTATGGCCACGGTTAAGCAAAATCACTGCAGTCCTTAAGTGAACCACATGGTCTTTAAGTGAATCCAGCTCCCCTTCCACGGACTTTGCTTGTTGGGAGCTGGCTGGCTAAGGCCACAAACGGCGACCATGTGCCAAGCATCCAAATTTTGATCACGTGACTGTGGGATGCTGCCACGGTTATAAGTGTGAGGATGAGCGATCACTTTTTTCAGCACCGTTGTAACTTTGAACGGTCAAAGGAAGGGCTCTAAGTCAAGGACTAACTGTTATTGCTGCTAAAATGGGATTGGATGGCATGTGTCCCCAGAAGCGGTCCAAAATCAAAATGGCGGCAACCGCGTGATTCGAGCCCCGCAACCCTTTTGGAGTTTGCAGCCCGCCATCTTGATTCTTTTGATCGCCCCCTACATGGATGACTTCGTTGGATGCATAACATGGACGCCACAGGGAGGGGAGAACCTGGAACCCCAGGGATGGGCCCAATTATGGACCCATTGCGACGTGTGGACTTGGATTCCCATAATTCCACGCTGGCTCGGGAATTCTGGGAGTTGAAGTCCACAGGTCGTCAAGGGACCAGGGCTGCTCACCTCTCCTGTTAATCCTGTTAGTAGGAAGACTGTTATCTACCCTGAAAAATACCCCCTACCCTGAAAGTAAGTCCTAGATTGTTTTTGACACGTGCGCCCAATATAAGCCCTACTCCCCAAAATAAGCCCTAATTCACATCCCACCCACTCCAAAGTGGACGGGTAAAAATTAAGCTAGGGTGAGGATTGGGAGGGGGGGTGGAGCTGCCCTACTACTTATCTTAGGACAGGTGTAGCCAGGCCTTGCACACCCTGACACCTGCCTGGCTGGCCCGTTTCTTCTGCAGCTGGCAAGGTTGTCAAGGCTTTTCTGAAGGCCCCTGGAGCTGAGAACAAAGCTCTGGATCGATCCTGAGCTCCATTATCAGCTGCAGAGGCCTTCAGGAAAGTCTTGCTAGCCAAGGAAGAAGTTCCTGAAGGCCTCTGACAGCGAAAAGGAGGCCAGGAGCAACGTGCACCAGTGAGGTTAGTCAGTGGAGGACGTCCCCTGAAAATAAGACCTGGTGCCTTTTTTTGGTGGCAAAAAAAATATATAAGACAGGGTCTTATTTTGGAGGGAAACACGGTAGCAGCAAAGAAAATGTGGTTTCTCACCAACCCACCTGATGGTGCACCAGTCATGATGGCGGAGTTTTCAACTGGTTTGGTTTTCTTGTCCTTGGACTTCTTCGAATCGGACTTCTTCTTTGCGGGTTTGCTGGTGTGTTTTGAGGACTTGGCGGCTAGTAGGCCCACTCCGGATAAGGCAAGATGAACACCGGGCTCGCTCGGGTCTGTTTTGGCTTTGCTTAAGTCAAGAGCGACCTTCCCTTTCATTAAAGTCTGGTGCTCTCCTGACAAGTTAGGGCCACTTGAAGAGTCCTCGTCACTCTCATCTGAAGCAGAAGAGCTTTCTGGAGATGCGGGACCCGGCTTCCCAGGCAGGATGTGCTCCGAGTTGGCTAGGATGTCAGGGTTGAAGGACAGGAGAGGATAATCTGATTTGAGTTGAGCTCCTGATCTTACAGAAGGTAACGTTGGCATCTCCTCTGGGACTGTATTCTTGGAGGACAGGAGAGAAGAACCTGCTGTGAGTTGAAGTCCTGGTTTTCCAGAAGCCAATTCGGATGCCTCTGCTGGGACTTCAGGCTTGGAGGACAGGAGAGGAGAACCTGCTGTGAGTTGAAGTCCTGGTTTTCCAGAAGCCAATTTTGATGTCTCTGCTGGGACTTCAGGCTTGGAGGACAGGAGAGGAGAACCTGCTATGAGTTGAAGTCCTGGTTTTCCAGAAGCCAATTTTGATGGTTTTGCTGGGACTTCAGGCTTGGAGGACAGGAGAGGAGAACCTGCTGTGAGTTGAAGTCCTGGTTTTCCAGAAGC